TCACTCTCCCTCCCTCTCTCTCTCTCTCTCTCTCTCTCTCTCTCTCTCTCTCTCTCTCTCTCTCTCTCTCTCTCTCTCTCTCTCTCTCTCTCTCCCTCTCTCCCTCTCTCCCTCTCTCCCTCTCTCTCCCTCCTTCTCTCTCTCCCTCCTCTCTCTGATAGCACCAATCATTCAGTTACATCCATCAGCTAATGTCTGATGATCAGTATTCTGAACTAGAGAAGGAAGATTGCACTAAAGCAGTGTTGGATAATGCTGATGTAAGCAATGTTTGGTCCAAGTTTTGCATGACTAAAAATTTGTAAAAAAAATCCAATTTTGATCGGAATTAGTTCAAACTTAAAACACAACATAAGTGCATGTATATGTATCAGGAAATGTAATAAAAATTGAGAATTCTCTCCTAGTCATTTTTGGGGAAATTTGGCCAACGACCCTGTACTATAGTACAGTGACTTTGGTCTGATTTTTGAGTAACTTTAAAAATTTGTTAAAAGTTCGATTTTGGTCAGAATCAGCTCAAACTTGAAACGCAACATAAGTACATGTATATGCATCAAAAAAATAAAATAAAACTGGAAAATTTTTTTTAGTCATTTTTGGCAAAATTTGGCTGTACTATAGTCCATTGTCTTTGACCTGATTTTTGAGTAACTTCATGCTTTTAAGTGCAATATGTATACATACCTTTCTAAAAGACAGTTAGTTTTACCCTCTACTCCTACAAGGAATAACAAGCTCTATTAACCTGTTTGACGAGTAATGCTAACATTTAAACTCTCCTGTAAATTATGATTGAAGCAGCAGGTGTAATGACCCATAGAGGCTAATGAGACAGTAGCCATGGTGACAGGTGGTATCCCATTAGACTGTGAGAGCCAGTTATTCTTTCCTTTGCCTCCACACATACCTAATGACCATGTTCATGTACCATGCTCACTCATTTCTTTCCATAAATGTTCATGGCTATGTCATCCATTCCCCGACTCTCTCTCTTTCTCTCCATTGACCTGATAATGTAGCATAGTGATAGTCCCTTTTTCAGGCATGCATGTACATGTGTGTCCTCTCTTCCTTTTTGGCATGAACTCCAAGCATACTTGATGAGCTGACCTCTCTCTCTCTTTCCTCTCTCTTTCTCTTTTAGATTCTTCTCAAAACTGATGTGAGGGCAACGGCTGAGCTAGTTGTCATGGATTTCCCTCTTGAAGTCTCAGACATCACTCACCGAATTCGTAACAACCCTGACCTCCAGTTTGAGTTCCTGCAAGGAGTCTTTGATCCAAAGTAAGTGAAGAGAGGGAAAGGAGAGGAAGGATGTACATGTACATGTTACATGTATGGGGGAAAATTAAAAGTATTATGTATTGCTACACTTAAATCAGTGATATAGAACATTATTTTATTGGATATATTATTATTATTATTATTATTATTATTATTATTATTATTATTATTTATTATTATTATTATTTTGAAGGACGTCAAAGCAGGATATACAGCCTCCCTCTCACATTGTGGAGAAGTACATTGAGTTACTGTGCCTCTACAGACCAGAAGCTGTTTATAACTTCTTGAGAACCAACGACAACTATCGACTGGAAGAAGCACTTGACGTCAGTTGTTTACTGTTTATTGTTTGCTGTTTATTATTGTTTGTTGTTGTTGTTTAGATTTGTGCTATGAACCGTGTTCGTGATTCAATTGCTTATTTACTAGAGAGGACTGGGGACATAAAAGGAGCTTTCAAAATAATTTTAGAAGTATACAGAAATAATGTTTTATTAGTAATTTTTATATCACACACTCTCTCTCTCTCATTTAGACATTTAGTTCTGAGTTGACCAAGTTTTTAAACAAGCATGCACCTTCACTTTTACCCTCGGCAGGTAAATGCTCTTGTATTCTAATTAATGCCCAACACCTCATCTAGAGTTTGAGGCCGACAAAGGGAAAGTGGAGCACATACTTCAGATATTGCTCCAGTTGTGTCAGAGGTCGTCGAGCAAAGTGGATGATAAAATGAGAGACAATATGTGGCTCTCGACCTTAGAACTGGTACTGTCGCTTCCTAGGAAACATAGTAACACTCAAAATACCCAATTAGTGGAAGGTGAGGGGAGAGAGAGAGAGAGAGGGAGAGAGAGAGGGGGGGGAGAGAGAGGGAGAGGGAGAGAGAAGAGAGAGAGAGAGAGAGAGATGACTATTCCTTTACTTAGCCATGAAATCCATTCGAGCTGATGTCCTTAACAGTGTGATGGGTTATATTAAACTACCTGATATATTGCAGACTATCATTGAAGCAAGTTCACACACACTCCTATCACATGATTATCATGTGATGTACACGTATTGTAGGACCCTAGCACCAGCCAGTTAAAAGATGTGAGACCGATTATAATGAAAATGCTGGACACTTACAACTATGAAGAAGTAAAAAAAACTATCATTATTACGACTTAATTAAATTTATTTTATTTTTAAGGTGCTATTAAAAGCGACTACCCATCTATTAGTTCATGATGTGCAGCAGTCACTGACTTCCCTCTGTTCTCTATCATCTTCCAGTATTACATCTGACAGTGTCTTATGTTGCCTTTGTAACAGACCAGCCGATTCAGAGACACCAGAGGGAATTGATGACGTGATTGTATTCAGGTAACTAACTGGGCATTGTTTGAATTTTGAATGTTTGAATTTGAAACACTAAAAACTGATAATTTACATAGTATTTATTTAACTAATTAGCTTTAGTATGAACATTAATAGCTAAAATTTTAGTTTGTGCTTTCTTTTAAAAGTAGTTTAATGTACTATGAAGATATATCTATAATGAGTGCTATATTAACTCATTTTCTCATCACTCCTGTAGCTGCAATCATCTCTATCATTCATCCTGTCTTGGTGTCACCGGAGCTCTCATGGGTGTTACCTGCTTCCTATGCGATAAAAGTGCTAAACCTTCGGCATTTTCTGGCCCCATTACAACAGCATGGGTATGCTTTATAGGTGTAAAACTGGTTGCTATTCTTTTACTACATTACCAATTATGGCACAAGGCTCAATTTGCAATTTTACAAATTGTCTTGAGTTTATGTGTTGTTAGGCTATTCTAGCATAGCTAGCCTGAAATTATACATCATTATGAAGATTTAGGGTCTAATTTCCTATTAATTGTTTTATTCCCTACATTTGTTAATAATAGGCATTGGAGATGAAGAGCGGCCAAAAGACAGCTGTAAGTTAACTTTATTCAGTATACTATTAGTAATCTCGCTGTCTCTCTTTTAGCCGAGATATGAGAAAGTTCAGTTAGATCACGATCAAGTTAGGAGGCTCCAGAAGTTAACTCGTTCCTTCTCTACGCTAAGAGATAGATTTGTTAGTATTTTAATTATAATTTTTATTATAACTTTTTCTGCTTTTTATAGATGAGCTCTGCTGCAGAACTCCGTCTTGCTCCTCCTCAGCTAAATTGAAAGACTTTTTAAATGTGTATAAATCCACTGTATGTATTATTAGCTTTGCTGCTTGCGTGTGTGCTCTTTTGTCTAAAAATATCCTGATTTTTTTTTATATTGGACATGGCCTGTTTTTAATGGCATGCTTGTTGATCAGTGAGGCGAAGCAGGCTCTATTAATAGTCTTGCTTTAGGCCTTACTCGTGCCAGTTCGTTACTGAGGTCACACAAAGCAAGATAGCGCAAGCAGTAATCCCTCGAGCGAGAAATCTTAAGACTCCTGTGAGTAAAAGACTGCAAAGAGAATCCGGGACCTTCATTTTTGAATCCTTGATAATATCAGTAAGTTTTTAAAGATCTATGTGCTGTGTAAACTGGGTGGCTTGCCTCTCCAAGCTATGCGGTAGATGGGTAGATAAGAGTCGCGAGACTTTAAAAACAAACAAAGAGTACTGGGCTCAAGCCTTGCTCCTTTGCAGTGAGGAGCCAGTCCATTGACACGGTATATTGCCCATCCAATCGAAAACCAATTAATAATAAGGCTATAATAAAAATGCGTCCAATTCATTCCTAACTGTCCTTAACGGTTCATTTACTTTCTCAAAACAAAAAGTCCTCTCTAGCAAGTGTTTGCTTTTTTCAATGTTGGATAGCTGGATTAAGAAGAAACTATAACTACGTAGATCCACGACAAGCAGATTTGTACTATAGCTAAAGCAACTAAAGCAATATCATATTTCTTAGATTTGTATGGCATAAGTATGCGGTTACATTAGTTATCTCAACAGTAGCACGTTTCAATGATAAATTTATATCAAAACAAGTTGCAAATTATTTGCCGAACAAGGTTTTGACTAATGATTTGAAACCTTGTTCTCTCCGGTTGACCGAACTAAGCAAACCTCCTCCTACACTATAAGCCTCTCCTACACTCATCAGTACATTTTGTATGACCAGTCATGTGAGAAACCAGATGTGCACCTTATGCTCTTATAAGGATATTGGTACACTTCACAGTATCTCCTTTACTATTGCATCCGGCCATGCTTCATTCCTTCTACAGTGCATGCATGCATGCATGCAGGCTTACATGTAGTTCATATCTTCTTTTATCCTTACTATAGAAGAATGATGGAGTCTTGTTGCACTGCACTCAATCAGATTCAACCGCAACTGCAGAACTCCTTCAGGATTGATAGTATTCTCACAGGAATGGGAGCTCACCCTCCTCCTCCTCCTCAAGGTTACTCTGTGATGCACCAGCACCCTAGCAATGCCGGGGGGCCAGGAGGTGTGGAGGCTATCAAACAGTTTGGGAACATGTTTGGAAAGAATGAGGAACTTAATATGCAAGAAAGAAAAAGAGGTAAAACATTGTTATTATTATTTGTTTATTAGTTATTATTATTATTTATTTATTAGTTATTATTATTATTATGAAAAAGTTGAAAATGCACCTAAATCACAGTCTAATCAAAAAGAAAACCCTAACAAAAAAGAAGCAATTTATTGTTACTATGAGGAAACCATAAATAAACAAGCAATGAAACATTATTATTATTATTATTATTATCATCATTATCATCGTTATTATTATTATTATTATTATTATTATTATTATTATTATTATTATTATTATTTATTAGAATCAGTAAGTAGTGCTGATGATGATGATGACAGCTATAGAAAGAAGAAAAAGCCACGGACTGCATTTTCAAGGGAACAGGTTTCAGAGCTGGAGAAAAAGTTCACAGAAAGAAAATACCTCTCGTCTGCCGAAAGAGGAGAGCTAGCAGAGAAACTCAAACTCTCAGACATGCAAGTCAAGACCTGGTTCCAGAATCGTAGAATGAAATTCAAGCGTCAGAACGAGGAAGCAGAACTTGAGGTCAAATCTCCGAAATTTCCTTATCCTCCATTTGTCCCGTATTCATCGTTCTACAGCTATACGATGCCTCATTATAAAATGATGGATCAAATGCAACAACAACAACAACAGCAGCAGCAGTCTCCTTCATACACCTGCACATCTCCTCCTTCAACATCCAACAGCTATCAACAGTCTACCCCTGGGCCTACACCTTTGGTACTCGGTACAAATCCTGCAGCTCACCACATCTCTCCACCTCCTCATATCACCTCAACTTATTTCAACAGGGCCGCCATTGCTCATGGCGTCATTTCAAATGGCTCACAGTCGCCGTGCTATCACATTGGGGCTGGTTATTTGAGTGATTATAATCCTGGAGCTCCCAGTGGTCCTATAATGTCTCCACCATACTGCAACAGCAGTGGAAGCAGTGACTGGCAGAGATCACCTCTACCAACTCCACCAGCAGCTCCTTAGGTCTTTATATAGCAATGACAACATCACTTTATTGAGCTATTTTTATTTCATTTCGTTTTTATTCACAATATACCTACCCACATTCCATTCTACAGTATATAGTAGCCTACAGTGTGTATGTGTGTGTCTGCTTGTGTGCTTTTTATTTCATTTCTTGGAAATCTGCATGTTATCATATGCAGTCTTTATTTATTTTTATCTCAGTCATTATTTTCAGATTAGTGTCTAATTTCACTCGTTTGATTTCTCAGTTTTCATTATACTCAATAAAGGAGGCTCACATAGGAACAAAGGGATGGGATATGGCTGAGCTAAGTAGTGCACCACTCCCCCTCCTCTATTTCTCTATCCCTTTCTATCCAATTGTTTTTACAAAATAAGAAACCATTTTTGTTTTTATTGCCCTCTGTGCTTAGTGTGCACTAATGTTGACACTAGTCTAAACTGATAGTTATTAAACTTTGGGCTTGCTTTTAATACACACCCAATGCATGTTTATTGTTCAGTTGTTAGCTGACACTATTGCATATGAATCAACCTCCTTTGAAATGATCTCCTTTGCGGTTGTGCACTTTTAATGACTGACATTCAATACGATACAAAATGAGCTCGGTTGGTCCTTAAGACCAAAGTCAACCGCTTGTTTCTGTATTGCAAACAATTCTACAGTTGAGTGAGCCTTATTGCTACACACATGTGGCTTCCCACAGGCCAGGACCACTTCATATAAAGAGGAGGAAGCATGTGTCTCTGAAGCTCAGACCAAGGCCAGGAAGTGACTTATAGAACTATCTAAACTATCAATGGCAGCTAGAGGGCTCTCCTTTTCTGTTGAAAATATCCTCAGTGGATCCTGCACTGGAACTGGAGGTATTGATAATGGACACTTTCACACTACAGCAAGGAGACACTCATGTGCTGGGGTAATTACCAACATGTCCACACCACCATGCAGTCCACAGTCAACTGTGAGTGCTCCAAGCCCTTTGAGAGAATCATCACCAGGTACGTCAAATAGTTGTAATTAATTGCATTTTTACAGGAGTCCCTATTAAGCTTATATGCATAAATAATCTAATATCTGTCTTCGACTATGTTTATCACATCATTTTGTTTTGATCTCTTCTTCTCTATCTGAGTGCACTCATTAATTGCTTGACATGGGCTGTTGAGCAGCCATTATACTGTTCTTAGTATAGTTGCATCGTTAATTGCACTGGCCAATAATCAATTGGATGGCTGGGTGGCATGCATGACAATAAAGGAAACTCTAGTTTGTAGTGGTTGTATGGTGACAAGTACCCCATTAAATCACAGTACACAATATATTAGTGGCGCCATTCGCAGGATGATTAGCTATTTAGTACAAATGCACATGACTGCACATTGCACACGGTCACTCACATATTCTACATTTGCAGATGATGATGTTACCATATCGAGTCAAGAGTCGCCCAGTGAACCTACTCAAGATAAAGTCGGAGGGAATCCCACCCAACCGTCTAGCAGTGAGAATCTTGGTGGAATGAGAAAAGCTGCAAGGATGCGTTTCAGTCAAGAGCAGATCCAAACTTTAGAGCAACGCTTCCAAGAGCAGCACTATTTACTACCTGCTGATAGAAAGCTGCTAGCACACTCACTGGGCATGTCAGAAAGGCAAGTAAAGACTTGGTTCCAGAACAAGCGGGCTCAATGCAAGAGATCAAGAATACTAAGCAGTCCATCTCTCCAGCAACCATTACAAGCTCATGCCACGTACAGCTTCACTTGGCCATACTCTCTTCATCCCCTTCCTCCTCCTCCTCTCTCTCCACTTGCCTCTTTCAGTTTAATGCAGAGTAGTATCGAGCAGAGACCTCTGTTGTTGGCTCAGACTTCGCTTGTTTCCTCACCTCCTCCACCTCCTTCTCTCCCTCTCCTTGCAAGGCAGTACTACGCTAGTTGTCATGCTGGAACACATTAGTCTTTGTTGACAATCATGCAGTGCTTTACTTCATGCACAATAATAATAATTATTATTATCAATTATGATAAACAACAGCTTTAGTTTATGCCTCTTTTTGTCACAACATTACACTATGCACAATCCCTATGTGTATGCCTGCACACAGGACAAATATCACAAATGATTCTTTTTCACTGAAGTTTTTTTAATAATAATAATAATAAAATTATAAACCAAGTTATAAACCAACTTCCTGTCAGAGCAGGAAATGGTATCAAAAGGAGGTAACTGATTTCTGGGACCCTGCTCGCTTTAAAAACCCTGAGGAAAGAAAGCACAAAGAAAATAGAATAAAAATGAAGCGCACAGACTGGGCCCCCGTCATCATTATATTTATAAGTCTTGTCGTTGACCTTTTGGGTTTCACAGTAATCCTCCCCTTGTTGCCTTCCATGCTTGAATATTATGGATCCAATGATGAAGTAAGCCATTTTACTACTTAAAAACATAAATAATTATTAATAATTATTTTACATAATAGTCAGGCCTTTACAATGCTACTCTCAGCTCAGTGAATGGATTTCGTGTTCTCATTGGTGCACCAGATATGGAGAGGTTGAATATCGTATTGTTTGGAGGTAGTCTAAACTAACAACTAATTACAGCATTTTCAATTATAGTCGACTAATAATAACCGACTAAATTCATTGCATGCTCAAAACTCAAAAATTTATCGTCAGAATCAGCTCAAACTTTCTACATAGCATAAAGACATCAATATGTATCAGAAAATGTAATAAAAATTGGGGGTGATTTTGGAGCCATTTTTTGAAAAAAATCATGGGCTATAGCCTTGGGTATTTTTCAGAAATGAACATAATTAGCAATTATAGTTCAAAGAAGTATATATGCGCCTAATGTTTATCTGTTTTATTGCATCATTTAGGATTAATTGGTTCATTGTATTCAGTATTACAATTTTTCTCTCTCCCTATAATTGGAACAGCTTCAGATGTATTTGGTCGGAAGCCAATGCTACTGATAACCACAGTAAGTGGATAGTAAAGTGGATAGTAAATATTAAACCATAACTGCTTTCATATAACTTCTTACAATCACTAGCAAGCGAATTGATTATTATCTTTTATGAAGTATTACCTTTTACTAGAGAATTTTCTCATGTAAATAATTATTATTTCTTCTCACAGTTAGGAGTGGCTTCTTCCTATGTCTTATGGAGTGTGTCATATTCATTTCCTGTGTTTATACTGGCTCGCGTTGTGGCTGGTTTGAGCAAGGGGATTGTTAGTCTAAGTATAGCACTGGTTACTGATTCAACAACCAGTGATGATAGACCAAAGGCCATGGTAAGATAATCTATAATTAGAGTCAAACGAGCTATTGTGGACACTCTAAAATAAGGAAACCTATATAAATCAGGGCCAATGCAATATAAGTAATCATGTGTATTAATGAAATTCTTTACAAGATGTCCGGAATAGATAGATTTGTACTGGCATTAAAATGATATTATGCTGCTATGCATAACTTTTTCTCTTTTTTTATTTTTACCCTCTTTATCTTTCGACTCTCTCTCTCTCTCTCTCTCTCTCTAACCTTTTTCCTATACCATAATATATTTGATAACAACAAACAATCGAAAGTGTTTTCTTTCTACACGACCTTGTGGTCGACCTGATTTCAATAGCAAAATCATATTCAAATATAATCTATTTACGCTATCATGTTAATGATCCCTCTACTCACCAGCGTACACACTCATTTTATCCCAATCACTTAATAATAAACACCACTTAGGGCATCATTGCTGTCGCTTTCTCTGTGGGATATATTTTTGGCCCTCTCATTGGTGCCTACTTTTCAACTTTTGCAAGAAGCGAAGTAGCTAGTGGAGCCCCTGCCTTCTCTGTATTCCAGTACCCTGCTTTATTCTCGTGCGTCACTTCAGTGCTGGTGTTTCTGCTGATTGGGTTCTTTCTTAAGGAAACACTTCCACCGATTAAAAGGGTGAGGACGTGACTTAATGTGTACAGCATGACTACTTGTGTACGATATATTGTGCCATGTTCATTATTATGTCTGTATAATGTGTTTTTACTATTTTTATAATACAATTGATAATTACTACAATCCTCACTTATGGTATATCACCTTTATATCATAGGCTAAGTCTCTTGGTAGTGGTTTATCTGATGCACTGAGTCTAGTCAACCCACTCTCCCTATTTAGGTACACTGCAATAAAGAAGATATCTAATACAGGCAAGGGATCATGTTGCCATATCCTTTTACGATATAAAGTTGTCATGCAAACACACACACACAATAATCATGTAGACATGCTACTTATATAGACACATGTACATGTACATGTACATATATATGTACATGTACATATATGTCATGCATGTCAGCACTTAGCTTTGTGTGCTTAATGACTGCTTACAGATATTGTCAACCTGAGGTGGATGTCCTTTTCCTACTTCCTTTATTTGATGTTGTTCTCTGGCCTCGAGCAGACGCTGACATTTCTATTATACCAGCGGTTCCAATACACAAGGTACCACATGATGTACATGTAATTTAATGTGTGATTAATTGTCCGTGACTATTGTTCAAATTTATAATTAATTGTGGGGGCGGTTTGTTCTTTTTTTGTAACAGTTCTGATTCCAATGTTTTATCTGGGAGTATGTCAGGTTATCAATTTGATTTATATAAGGATTCAGTTGTCAGACTGTCATTACTGCATATACACATCATACGTGCATAGCCTAATTGTACTAATTACTGAATCTGATTGTATTAGCATGTGTAGGACAAATTGTTCATTTGAAACATGTCACGTGTACATCAGTATGTGAAAGTGAATGTTGATAAGTAATCGTATATGATATATAGTCTGCACTTGTTTCCTTAATAGTATTCAATATACTGTAGTGTAGTCTGTAGCTTATTATTTTATTGGATTACATTTCAGGATGGAGCAAGGTAAGATGTTCATGATGGTTGGTCTGGTCATGGCAATGGTACAAGGTATAGGAAATAATATTTATTATTATTATTTATTATTATTTTTATTTATTTATTTATTTATTTTTAGGAGGTTATATGAGGAGACGACCAGCTGGAACGGAAAAAAGAACAGCCCTTACTGTATGTGAATCAAAATATTACAGTCCAAAAAGTTTGTGGTTTTTCCTCTATTTCAGGGTATGGCGGTCATTCTCCCAGGAATGCTCCTGATTGGTTGGTCATCCACTCACCTCATGTTGTACTCTGGTTTGCTTTTGTACTCGTTTGGTAAGTGTTTCTGTTTTTTTGTGGTGGATAATTCATTGATGACTTTACCCACAGGAGCTGGTACTGTTGTGGCTTGCTTTTCAACAATGGCATCGCGCTTTGGTATAAAATATACATTATTACTATTACTACTGTATTTCTATATAAATTAATTTTTGTCGTATAACTTTAGCTTTGTTATTTTCTTATTTAATGTCATTCCGCTCTATTGTAGGAGAAAGTGATGAAAAGGGAAAGATATTAGGAATATTTCGTTCGATTGGTGCACTTTCACGTGCATTTGGACCATTCCTAGCTTGCACCCGTAATTTTACATAATTATTATAATAATTTTTACATAAAATCTTCTTCTAATCTTATACAGTTTACTGGAGCTATGGTCCTTGCATTTGCTACATGGTTGGTGGGCTAGCAATCGTTGTCCCCATGGTTATTTTAGCCAAAGTCCGTGTTGCTCAAATCAAAGTTGAATAGAATAAAAGAACCTTCATTAATAATATTGTAGTCTATTTTTATAACTTTTTTTCATAATTATAAAAGTCGACGTGGGAGCAGATGATGCTATAGCTATTGTTATTTTTGGGTGGAGCAGGATGCACCGATGTTATGAAGAAATAAAACCCTTAGCTCTGACTGAGCCCGAAAGAGAGAGGTTATACTGATTACTGAGAGGAGGCTAAAGCCATGGCAGATGAGAATCACGTCTCAACCGATACGAGTGATGAGGGCAGCAGATCTTTTTGGAAAGAATTCTTCAAGCAGCAGTTCCATTACTCCAAGTTTCTTACTTTCCATAGAGACTGGCGGCTATTCATACACTCGCCGGTAAGTGAAGTTTATAAGCAACAATCACTCTAATTATAACATGCAATATAATCCGAACCTGGTAATAAGAGAAAATATGTCACAAAATAGAAAGGGTGTAAATAATCATACTTTGCTGCTTCTTGTTCTACATTAATGTGTATATACACTGCATTGTGTAGTTCTATTAAATAACAGGATTGTATAGATTTGAAATATTCTCTTTGTCATGATTCATTGCATCTGTTATTCATATGAATATATTATTACATTGTGGCCCAACCACTACTAAATTTGTAGCCGATTGAATTAGTTATAATAACTTACTATGAGAACCTGATGATTTTAGTGTCAAGCATTCATATAAAGAATTCGTTGCATTCCTATTGGCAATAGAAAACACATGTAGATCATCACATTTTTATATCAAACTAGCTCAGGTTTGGGTCCTTAGGGAATTATGAAATTAATTGCCAAAGTTCATCACTGACTTGATGTTACAACTAAATTTGAACTATGAAGGTTGTAATATGTAGTGTGTGCAGTATATAGTATAGCCTGGGGCTAGTCTAATTCCATAGCAGTTGGCATTACTGGCTGTCATCACTGCTGAAATCATTTTAATTATAGCTTGCCTGTACTGTGTATATATAGTACAGTATGGTTTAGTATTGTGTGATGATTATTATAACTTCAAACAGCTTCCATAAACAGTAGCTTTGTATTCCATTCAACCTCAGCTACAGAAATAAACACAATGGAATTATAATAATACAGTACACAATGCTAGCAATACTCAAGTGTATATGATCTGAATGCTTGTATACATTGCAGTCATAACTCCAGGAAATTGATAGTCCTACTATCAAATGTGTACACTTGTCATACCAAGATCACATTTAAAAATGTTTTATTTATTTTTGTAGTGGCTGCCACAGAAATGGACTTATCAAACGATATATGTTATTTATCGACTAATCATTGCAGTTTATTTCTTTGGCTGGTTTATAGCTACTCTCGTTGTTGGCACTGAAGTCCATGGATCAAAATTATTTATATTCCTCACTCACTGGGGAGGCATTATACTCAACCTATACTTATTATCAGCTGCAGCTGTCACTCTTTTTTATTTTATTTATAAACATCATTACAAGAAGACACCTCACAGAGATCTGAAGCTCTCAGATCTTCAAGACAGGCCTTTCCTCGAGAAACCCTGCTGCTTCAAACAGCAGGAGTCTCTCTCCGTCCCATGGTACATGCAGTTTGTTTGGATTCTGTATGTTATCTCTTCTGAAATGTCAATAGAAGTCGTCGTGGGATATTGGCTGACTTTCAGCGGAACCGTTCACTCTTGGCCTGTCAATCTTCACGAGCATCTTTTTAACATCATTCCTGGCCTGATTGACCTCTTTGTCACCGGACTACCGATACGATTCTATCAGTTCTTATATATAATGGGAATCAACATTATATACGTCATCTTTACTGCTATTTATTATGCAGCTGGGGGGACCCATTCAAACGGCAATACGCACATTTACTCCGTCTTTGATTACGAGGGTAGAGCTGTTTTCTCCAGTTTCTCTGTTTTAATATTTGTGTTTGTTGTTCCAGTTGCACTCCATTCCGTCTATTGGGGGCTGTATTGTCTAAGGACTTTCATTCTTAGCCGGTTTCTAAAGAAAGCATCACCAGAAACTCGACCAAGTCAGAGCACCTTCTCAGTGATGGCTACTTCACCAGTTTAATTTTTTGCAAGAGATGCCACTGTTCATTAATAATCAGTATGAATAATAATTTTTAAAATTAATTTTCATTAATCATTATTATTATTATTAATTTTTATAACTCATTATCATTAATAATCATTGTTTCCATGGTAACGATGGGCGTATACTATAATCCAGCCTTTATAACTGCACTTAAAACAAGCTTTGCTTGTTGAAACCATAAGTTGAGACAAGAACAATGCCTGCTGGTTACTGGGCGCAGTTCTTTAAAGCTCAATTTCATTACTCGAAGTTTGGTTTTGCTCATAAAGACTGGAGAGCATTTACCTTTTCTCCAGTATGACTTCAATATCAATGTTACTGTAGTTAAATAAGATTATATTATTTCTCTCTCTCCTTTCTTTTATGCAGTGGTTACCACAAACATCCAAGCACCAGCTAATATACCTGATATACAGATGGCTGGTTGCCATTTACTTCTTTTTGTGGTTGATTGCTGTGGGTGCTATAAGTAATTATGGAGGAAAGTTCTTCATTTATCTCACTTACTGGAACTTTCTTCTAGTCGTTGCACATCTCCTCTTCTCTGCAGTCTCCTGCACTTATGTTCACTTTAAATTTGCTTTTCGTAGTGCAGAGAGTCACCATAAAAGTGAATTGAAGCAAGAAGACTTGCATGATCCTCCACATCACATTAAGAAATGCTGCCTCTGTTTCCAGTGCTTTGAACCTGGACAAGTATCATGGTATTGCGTGCCACTGTGGATTGGTCACTACATTGCAACCATTATTCCCATCCCTGTCATTGTGTTTTATTGGGGATTACTTGCTGGTAGTGATGACAACATAAACTGGGCCACCAACCTGCATTCACATCTTCTCATCGGGCTGCCTGGTATAATAGACTCCCTTTTTAGTGGCATACCATGGCGTATTTATCACGTGTACATATCTATCATATGTGGAATGGCTTACTTGATATTTTCTCTGATATACGATCTGTCTGGTGGAACTAATGCTAAGGGTGAGCCCTACATTTATCCCGGGATTGATTATTCTGAATCTCCTGCAAGTGCCATTGGTTTCATTGTTATTGTTGCTTTTGTTTTCACTCCTTTTGTTCATTTCATCTTCTGGTGTATCTACGTTGCACGTACACTTGTTTTGTACTGCAAGATTGGAGGAGGCGATCAAACTTTAGGCACTGAAACAAGTGAAGAATATCGGATAAGCCAACAGCCGCTTTCTCCAGGTGATGATGGCGGTGCTGTCATGAAGGGAAAGAGTAACCCTTTGGCTTTTGAAATGGATAAGGTCCAGTCAAAGGATACCATTGGAGAGGAAAACCCGTTGGCTTTTGTGGATGAACAGCCACCACAATCTCCTCAATAAAATAATTTCATTTAACACTTGCTTAAATATTATTTTTTTGATGCATAGCGTAATGACCTCATGTCAGCAACTGTAGACTATCTATACTGTTTTCATTAAATTGAATATACTTTTAAAATTATTTTCAATAAAGTTTAAAGGTCTTGTACTTTTGTATCATGTTTTTACTTGAAAGCCCATAAACATTTCAATCAATGATTCCAATTTAAGTCACGTGCATGCACGTGTGTAAAGTAGGCGTGGTACAGTGGGTGTGGTTTAGAATCCAAAACATATGAGTTGCCATAGTAACTGCACTAAAAATCATGGTGAGTTAGATTGTACCGCCATTGAATATGAACTTATCCTTTTCCCAATTCCCATAGGCTAGTAAGCGATCTGAATCGGTTAAAGTTGTAGTAAGATGTAGGCCTATGTCGGATAAAGAAAAAGAGAGCAAATATTCCAAGTATATTAGTATAATTATCATTAAACTCTACTTCTTAAATTCTCAGAGTGATAAGTATGGATGTCAGTAGAGGTGCGGTAATGTTATCGAATCCTAAAGTTTCTCTAGCCGAACCACAGAGAGAATTTAGTTTTGATGCTGTATACGACTGGAAGTGAGTTCACATGATCCTTATACAGTTAATGTGCTGGTTTTTAGTTCAAAACAGCGTGATATCTATGATGAGACTGTACGAATGATAATAGATGCTGTTCTACAAGGATACAATGGTTAGATTTGAAGGGAGTATTGCTACATGTTACTTAAATCAGATACCATACTAAATTATTTAGCCAAGGAATTTCAGTATAAATTTATTTGGATTTTTTTACAAATTTTTCTAGTTGCTAAAAAATCAGGCCAAAGTCCCTGTACTATAGTACAGTGTCGTTGGCCAAATTTCATCAAAAATGACTAGGAGAGAATTTTCAATTTCTATTACATTTTCTGATGCATATACATGCTCTTATGTTGTATAGCAAGTTTGAGCTGATTCCGATTAAATTTGGATTTTTACGAATTTTTAAAGTTACTCAAAAATTGGGCCAAAGTCCCTGTACTATAGCACAAGGTATTGGCCAAATTTCACCAAAAATGACTAGGAGAGAATTCTCAATTTCTATTACGTTTTCTGATACATATACATGTTCTTATGTTGTGTAGCAAGTTTGAGCTGATTCTGATTAAATTTGGATTTTTTACAGATTTTTAAAGTTACTCAAAAATCAGGGCAAAGTCCCTGTACTATATAGCACAGGGCATTGGCCAAATTTCACCAAAAATGACTAGGAAAGAATTCTTAATTTTTATTACGTTTTCTGATACATATACATGTTCTTATGTTGTGTTTCAAGTTTGAGCTGACTCCAATCAAAATTAGATTTTTAAATAATTTTTAAAGTTTCTTCTTTGCCAAATGTGATTTTTATGAAAATGACACTTAACTAATTAATTTAATTATTCTATTAATATTCTAATATTCAGAATACATGTAGTGATTATTTAATTATTTTTAGGTACAATATTTGCATATGGTCAGACAGGTACTGGCAAGACATATACAATGGAGGGCATTAGGACTGAGAAAGAGAAGAGAGGAATAATCCCAAACACTTTTGAGCACATCTTCTCACATATTGGCCAATCAATGAATGAAGTATGTATATTATAATTCACTCAAATTTTAACCAAATTAATAACTATACTGGTACATTGTAGAGCCCTTTAAAAATTGGCTCTCTTTATTAAGGACAACACTCTGTCCTTAATACATGTACAGTGTAGCCTCTTTATTAAGGACACCATTGGGCCCACACTACCTGTCCTTAATACATGTACAGTGTAGCCTCTTTATTAAGGACACCGTTGGTTCCACACTACCTCTCCTTAATACATGTACAGTGTAGCCTCTTTATTAAGGACACCATTGGTTCCACACTACCTGTCTTTAATACATGTACAGTGTAGCCTCTTTATTAAGGACACCATTGGTTCCACACTACCTGTCTTTAATACATAAATGTGTTTCAGAGGCACATGTACTTTTGGATAGTTTGTACTAATTGGGACATTATCATCTACTTAGAGTGTCAATCCTTATTTATAATAAGGATCAACAGCCACACATGCTACATGTGCATGTACATGCTCATTTTAATCACAAAATTTTCTAACTGGACTGTGATACATGGTATTTCACGTCATGTTCGCATTAGCTCACGTCTATTATACAATAATATCTTTCATTTGTATCACAAACAATGTGTCCCTATTAATGTCTCCGCTTATGAGAAATTCAAAGAATTAACAAACATGTGGTAGTGTACATGTGGCAAGGTGCCGCTGATTTCTACATGTACTGCATGTTTCTTTATTCATTTTATAATTGGCGTATTCAGTACACAAGAGTGCAGCTGGGCGGTCACTATGCTTCAGTGGCTGATAGAATCCAGACCAACTGGGTCTGAATAATTAGAACAATCTGTTTATATTATTGCTAATGAACGAGCACATTTATGATTGACTGACTAAGCTATGCTTTTTCTTATTTTCACTGTTATACCTACCACAGTCACGTACACAGTGCAGTCATAGAAGCGCTTAGTATTATTTATTCCACTATAATAATTATAATGATGTTTTTAGCAATGAAATTGCAATACATCGATCATCAATTTGCAATAAGAAATCAAACAGCGGGCATGTGGCCTGGATAATTTTGAATTAAAGTCTCATTAAAAATAAATATCAACAACCTGGTCGTGTTAATACAGTCTATTGATCACCTCATCTGCAGATGTGCATGTACTTAAGGGAAACTTTTTTCCACTTCTCCAATTTATAGTTGACTGATATAAATGAGCTACTATATATAAAATGACACTATATAAGGACAAATCAAGGTGTTCTTTATTTGTGTGATACAGGAATGACTTCTGCTGATATAAGACATTTTTATAATGAGGAAATTTTGTAATGTCGTAATTGGTACAAGCCTAAACAAAAGTACCTCTGAAATGAGGACACCTCTGTATTAAGGACAGGTAGTGTGGGCCCAATGGTGTCCTTAATAAAGAGGCTACACTGTACATGTATTAAGGACAGGTAGTGTGGGTTCAATGGTGTCCTTAATAAAGAGGCTACACTGTACATGTATTAAGGACAGGTAGTGTGGGCCCAATGGTGTCCTTAATAAAGAGGCTACACTGTACATGTATTAAGGACAGGTAGTGTGGGTTCAATGGTGTCCTTAATAAAGAGGCTACACTGTACATGTATTAAGGAGAGGTAGTGTGGGCCCAATAGTGTCCTTAATAAAGAGGCTACACTGTACATGTATTAAGGAGAGGTAGTGTGGGCCCAATGGTGTCCTTAATAAAGAGACTACACTGTACATGTATTAAGGACAGGTAGTGTGGGCCCAATGGTGTCCTTAATAAAGAGGCTACACTGTACATGTATTAAGGAGAGGTAGTGTGGGCCCAATGGTATCCTTAATAAAGAGGCTACACTGTACATGTATTAAGGACAGGTAGTGTGGGCCCAATGGTGTCCTTAATAAAGAGGCTACACTGTACACATAGTATATGCACTGTGCATACGTGTGTGTATGCGTTGGGTTCATTAGTCAGTGGTTGATCTGTTTGTTAAGGTGATCATTATTTGCATGACTTCACAACTGGAGTCCAATTACATTGTGTACATATCCATCAGCTGTTGGTGGGCACTACTAATAATTTGTAATGACACCTGGACTACGCTTGGAATTTGTGAAACCTTTATCATAAACAAGTTACTGCATGTATACATGTACATGTATACATGCAATATGTATGGGCGTTTTTTATATTGAAATAAGTTACTAAATAGAATTCACTCCATCCAGCTTTTATTGCTGTACTGTAGAGATAAGAAAAACTACCAGACTTTCTAGAGGACTTTATCTTGACTAGGGGAATCCATTAGTATCACAAGCGTGGTTTAGTAATCTTGAGCAAAGTCGAGGATCGCTTTTAACAACATTTCTGTTAATAGAATTAGAATAGTATCAATTACTATTTTAATCAAATTAAACCAAAACAATAGTGGCCTAATTTGGTCAAGTGAGTAGAAGAGAGACTCAAACGTAATAGTAAATATTACTAACAATTAAAATAGATAATTATCACTTATTAAAAATATTATTATAGTGTGTATGGTATCTATTTATTCGTTGTACTCTTCCTATTTGCAGAAATATTTGGTGAGAGCGTCATATCTTGAGATATACCAGGTAAGACCAAGACCAGATAATAATGAGAGGAGAGTGTCCTACTGGCGATATGGTCTGCTTCATCGCTGCATAGAATTGGAAAGTCACATTCCCATTATTTTAGTATCTAGTCATTTTTCTAATACATGTAGCTATATACTCAAATAAAATAAGGAAATAACCGGAATCTGACTTTCCATTTCTACGCGGTGATGAAGCAGGGGTCATAGTGCACTGTAGGACACTCTCCTCTCATTATTATCTACCCTTCGTAAGACTTAGTATACTCTCCTTCTACATTCATAAATCTATAAACATGTACATATATGTACATGGACGATGGCACATGCACATATACGCACATGTTTATACATTTGTGCATGTAGAACTAGGCATGCGGGTAAATGTTTAATTTATTTTTAACGATTTTTCTTTGTAATCCCGTTTCAAAATATTTCCATATACGTACAAGACATATATGGGATGATCTTACTGTACTACTAAGCGAATGACATGAATAATATGCATGTACATGTACATACATGTACATGTACATGTATGTACATGTATATTTACTCATATGTCAGCTTTACTGATGTTCTAAGCACAATATACTGGTATATTATTCATTGATGGATTGCGATAAGTCACTTTCTTAGCTTACATGTACATAGGCGTAGGAATGATTCAAAAAGTTGGGGGGGGGCTCAACATTAAAAAGCATGACTTAGCATGTGAACATGGGGGGGCTAAGCCCCTCTTGCTGAAAAGTTGGGGAGACTTCAGCCCCCCCAACCCCCCCCCCATTTCCTACGCCTATAATGTACATCATGTATACTGTAGATGTACTTTTTTAATGGCACTGTATTTATCTTTTAAATTGAGGCTACATAGTCATCATTTTATCACCTCTTTGTGGCCTGTTTATAGCATAATTATGCTATTATGCGATGCTAATTATAACAATTATTAATTATAATGATTATTAATCATGCATATCCTACTATTAGTTTTTCTTATAAAAACTTGGTCTATTTTAGGAAGAGATTCGTGATCTTTTGTCTAAGAACCACAAACAGCGACTAGAGTTGAAGGAGAGAGTAGATACTGGTGTCTACGTCAAGGATCTGACATCGTTTGTAGCTAAGAGTGTTAAGGAAATTGAGCATGTAATGACAGTCGGTAATCAAAACAGGGTCGTAGGGTAGGTATGACAATGAAACATCTGCCACTCTCTTCGCTCCCTCTCTCTCTCCCACTCTTTCTCTCTAACTTTCTATCTCCTTTTTCTTTTAGATGTCTCTCTCTCTCTCTCTCTTAATGTACTCAGTTTGTTTACTAATTCCTCTCTCTTTCTCTCTCTTCCTCCTCCTCTCTCTCCCACCTTTAATCTCATGTACACATATGCACACACTACACAGCCTCAAAGGGCAATAGACATTATTGACTTGTAGTAGGGCATACAATCCTTTTAAAGGTTCACTGCACGAGATATTGTAAATATACAAAATAAATGGTTTGAACTGGCTCATTTCAAGTGGGCGAGTATTGACCGCTTAGGTGGGAGGCTATGTTGAGTAGGATAGTAGTAGATATTGTAATTGTACTAATTCAAAGCCTTAGAGTACACAATACGCATGTGTACAAGTGTTCGTGGATTAGTGATGCATGAGAGTCATAGTTTATTATGGAACTACACAAATGTGAGATAAGAACAATGGTGGAACTATAGTATATACATATTAGGAACATTGACTCTGTCTTTTGTTGGCTACCTGGCAACCACAGGTTGCTTGCATTTATTAAATGATTATAATTCTGATCATTTTTAATAATAATAATAATAATAGAATCCTGCTAATTAATTAATTAATTGATGTATGTATTTTATTTTTGTTTTTTTATTAGTGATAAAAATGTTTAATTATGATTTTTTATTAGTTGATTTGATTGTTATTGATTTGTAATTCATTATGTCATTATTCCATATGTACACGTACGTCATCCTAAATATTAATATTGTGATGATTTAAGTACCTGAAGACTAGGGTTTCCCACAAAGCATGCTAAGTGAGCTAAACAGCATGAGCTTCATGAGCTGACAAGCACTACAGTACAGTACATGGGATTTCGAGCAACTTTAAAAATTCATAAAAAATTCAAACTTGATTGGAATCAGCTCAAACTTGAAACACAACATAAGAACATGTATATGTATCAGAAATAGTAATAAAAACTGAGAATTGTCTCCTAGTCATTTTTGGCAAAAATTGGCCAATGACCCTGTACTATAGTACAGGGACTTTGGCCCAATTTTTGAGTAACTTTATAGATTCATTAATAATCCAAACTTGATCAGAATCAACTCAAAAAATACAAAAATGAAGAATTTTCCTTGTGAATTTTATCAAAATTCCCCCCCCCCCTATATGAGTGAGATGGGGGAGGTGTGTGAGAGTGACATGCCCACTCCTCCTCAGTGTCCAGTCCTTATACACGCAGTACGTGAAACAGATACCTTCTAAATTCATGTTTGCATCTATTCTAAATGTATATGGTCTTTTGTGCATGTACGTGTATTTCACACCTATACAGTACATGCTCTATCTGCTTTTATAGTTCTATGTGTGTGTGTGTTTGTGTATGCATTGTGTATTAAATGTGTTTATTTCTGTATGCTACATCTATTTGTGTGTATACAATGTACATGTATTTGATGTCATCATCATGTGTTTTAGGGCGTGTTACTATATTGTGGCACAACAAAATATGCCTTTGTGTGTCATACTTCAGTGTTGATTTCATTTTTTAACTTGCCTTCTTCTTAAATTCTTTCTTTTTTCTCTCTCTGTGTTTTCAAAAAGAAAAGAGAACAGTCTCATTATTGAACAATGTCATGCATGTACATGTACATCCCCGTATCCTGTTTTTTACAGGGCACTAAGTTGTTCTAAGCATTTGAGTTATGTTAATTTGTTGTTGGTACTTCTGGATGATTAGTTCTTCCTTCTTTAGTTGCACTGACATGAACGAACATTCTTCAAGATCGCACGCTGTCTTCATATTGACTGTTGAATGCTGCTGTGTAAGTTATTGTATATGTACAGCGTAGCCTCTTTATTAAGGACACCATTGGGCCCACACTACCTGTCCTTAATACATGTACAGTGTAGCCTCTCTATTAAAGACACTATTGGGCCCACACTACCTGTCCTTAATACATGTACAGTGTAGCCTCTTTATTAAGGACACCATTGGGCCCACACTACCTGTCCTTAATACATTTGATGTAAAGTGTAGCCTCTTTATTAAGGACACCATTGGGCCCACACTACCTGTCCTTAATACATGTACAGTGTAGCCTCTTTATTAAGGACACTATTGGGCCCACACTACCTCTCCTTAATACATGTACACTGTAGCCTCTTTATTAAAGACTTCTTAATGTCCCAATTCGTACAAACCTATACAAAAGTACCTCTGAAATGAGGACACTTACATGTACATGTACATGTAATGTATTAAGGACAGGTAGTGTGGGCCCAATCTTTATCTCAGAGTACCTTATCATGTAGAGGCTGTACATGTACACATAGTCCAATTATATCCTCATTTCCTAATTCTCAGGAAACTTTACTTCTTAAGGAGAAATAACTATAATGGCTTAATTTATTTAAAATATGAAAGCATGCTTCTCAAACCACACACTACGTACACATATACTCACTGGCTCTGTTGTACACGTACATGTACATGTAGGATGTGATATCATTCCTTTCATCTCTTCTTCGTCTTTCCCTTCTTTCTTTCTCTTTTCTTGATTTTTTTTTCCCTTCCCTCCCCCCCCCTCTCTCTCTCTCTCTCTCTCTCTCTCTCTCAGGAAGGAGCTGATGGTAAGGATCACATTCGAGTTGGTAAACTCAATCTTGTTGATCTGGCAGGGAGTGAGAGACAATCAAAAACAGGAACATCAGTAAGTATTAGCCTACATACATACATGTACAGGATGTACAGAATCCTATGTCCTAGCTGTTCTCTCCATTCTTAATTCATTAATTCCATATTATTCTTTTCTCTGTAAATACAGCATATCCTAATACTTTGATCTATCACAATAGCAATCATCGTGATGACAGTCAATGACATGAACTGTACAGTCCTTCTAGTGGTGGACTAATTGGTTACTTCATTGCAGTGACTTCACTAGCAATTAGAGTGCCCTAATTAGGGGATTCTGACTTATTATGACCACATAGATGTAGTAGTGCTTTTGTGCATGTATGCATACTGTACTAATTGAAATATTTCTACCTCTCCTGTCATATGTCTCTTACTCACTCTGATGCTTGCATTAGCAATGTTAGCTTGTTTTGGTTGTATCTTCTCTGATGCAAATCATGTTTCACTAAAAGGAGCATGTGTGCTTACTTTTAAGGAATAATTCCATTTTTAAGGTATTAAAAGTAATAAATCAATAAGAAGATACATGTGTATGTAATGGGTCTACTTTTTCAGTATCTATTTATGGTATTGATCTAATGGGAAAATGTATACATCATACATGTACGTTAATATTGAGACAATTCATGTACATTTTAATTTGTATTATGTGTAAATCTATTTCTCTCTCTCTCTCTCTCTCTCTCTTTCTTTTTATTATTAAAGGGAGAACAGTTCAAGCAAGCAATAAAGATCAACCTTTCTCTCTCGGCTCTTGGAAATGTGATTTCAGCTTTAGTAAGTCTGATATAATATATAGTAACCATTGTCTACCTGTGTATTGACTGTACTTGTTCCTCTCTTGTATATTTCTCAATACTACAACACCTTTTTTGTCTTCTCTTTCTTTCTCTCTTTTTGTCTCTCTCTCTCTCCCCCCACTCTCTCTCTCCCCCCTCTCTTTCTCCCCCCTCTCTCTCCCTCTCTCTCTCCCCCCTCTCTCTCTCCCTCTCTCTCTCTCCCTCTACTACATGTACACATGTACAGGTAGATAGTAAAGCCACTCATATACCTTACAGAGACTCCAAATTAACTCGTTTGCTTCAAGACTCGCTAGGTGGGAATGCCAAGACTGTGATGATTGCTAATGTGGTCAGTTGTTATGTGTTTCGCTCAATCTACTCCTCCATGTACCGATGATATCTACTCTAAATGTACATGTACATGCGCAGTATTGTCTGTACCATTCCATTGTATATCATATACTTGTTACTGGTTGAGTGGTTTTGACACATATGCTGAAAGTAATGAGCTCATCATTACTCCTATATGAAGAGTATGTATATGTACATGTATGTTCATGTGCAACGGTTGTACATCTACATATGTCGCCTAAACCGCAAGAGGGGTATTGTCAAGTGTCAACACATGCAAATCACCTCATCCATTTTAAATGGTCGTGTACATGTACATCGATTGCAGCTGCTTGCTGTAATGGCACTGGTTCTCATTTGTACAGGGACCAGCTTCTTATAATTATGAAGAAACACTAACAACACTCAGGTAAAGATTTAATGCATGTACATGTACACTGTGTATATATAGCCTCTATGAATTAAGGACACCTTTATAATGAGGACATTTTGTAATGTCCCAAGTTATACAAGCCTGTACAAAAGTACCCCTGAATGAGAACACCTCTACTGTGAATGGTGTCTTTAAAGTGTTGGCCCATGCCTTCTGTATGTGATAGAGTATGTATCTGTTATGATTACTGGTTTCTTCTTCTTTGGTATGTCAACTGGATATTAGATTAGTGCTTATTGGATTTGTTATGCATCCCCTAATGAGTTTATACTGGTCATTGTAACACTATTATTGAATTAATTATTATTGTTCAAAACTACTAGCTGTGAAGTTCAAAGGGCACTCACTAAGTTAAAATCTAATTCTTTCTCTCTCTCCTTCTAACTCCCTCCCTCCCTCCCTCTCTTTTTTATTTCCTGCTTTTCTTCCTTCTCTCTTTCCCTCCCTCTTTTCCCACCTCTCTCTCTCTCTCTAGGTATGCTAACAGAGCTAAGAATATCAAGAACAAGCCTCGCATTAATGAAGATCCCAAAGATGCTCTTTTGAGAGAGTACCAAGAAGAAATTAACAGACTAAAGGAAGCTCTTGAAAAGAGAAAAAGGAGAGGAAGTGGACGAAGAAAAAAGAAGACAACTGAAAATGGAGAAGGTATGAAGCTAAGGAATTATCATTAAAATGAATTAGAGGCAGACAGACCTTTTGTCTATGAACTGCAACTATACAGGATAGTACAGTATGGTACTCTCTAGCAATAAATACTAGAGCATATTTCATGCATCTTTGCACCTGTTGTAACGTCTGCTATAGTAAAGTACATGTACATGTACATGTACATGCAAATTATGCATACTACGTACATGTAAATGCATATTACATGTATGTAAGTTGTGTATATGTAAATGCATATGTACCTATTTCTTGCTCATTGTGACACCAAATGTTTATAATAGTTGCCAGTAACTGTGAAATGGCTCTAGTCCAAAGTCCAAACTATTTATTAGCTACTACTGCAACAATGGGAGTATGCAGACAGACTGTCTGCGTGTCACTTGTGTTTGTGATATCTCAAACAATCTCATATTCTCTTTCCTTTTGATATGCTCATATATATGGGTACCCTCACTACGTGCTCAGAGCGGCATAGCACGACAATTAAATAACTATTCTACCGAGTGGATCGAGTTATTTGTTCCAATTGCGATATAATACTGTTACGTATGCTACCTACGTATACATGTACATGTGTACGTGTACATGTATACTGTGGAGTCTCCCACTATCATCGCCTTTTAGACAAGGACATTTTTATAATGAGGATGTCCCACTTGGTACAAGCCTATACAAAAGTACCTCTGAAATGAGGACACCTCTGTATTAAGGACAGGTAGTGTGGGCCCATTAGTGTCTTTTAATGAAGAAGTTACACCAGGGTTTCCCACAAAGCATGCTAAGTGAGCTAAACAGCATGAGCTTCATGAGCTGACAGCCAGTATGCATTTAGAGCAACTTTAAAATCTATAAAATATCCAATTTTGATTGGAATCTGTTCAAACTTGCTAGAAAGCATAAGAGCATGTACATGTATATGCATCAGATAAAATTATAAAAATTGAGAATTCTTATATTTTTGGCGAATTGTAGCCAAAGACACAGTACAGGGTCTTTGGCCATTTGACAACCCACTGACAAGAAGCTTCATTAGTATTATTATGTCAAAGCCCTGTGGAAGGTTACACTGTACATGTACTTGTAATGGTTTCCTTTATGTGTGTATAGTTGCTAGTGGAGATGAGGAGGAGGAGGAAGAAGGAGAAGGAGACAGCGAAGGTGAAGAGAACGAACCGAATGTGACACTTCAACAAATGCAAGCAAAACTGGAGGAGGAGAAACAGATGATAATGCAGAATACAGGGATACTGGCAGAAGTGAATTATTATACATTTCTCCCTCTCTCTCTCTAATCGAAATACATGTAGTACATGCTCTTAGCAATATTATATTCTAATTTTATTATTAATAGGAGAAAGACAGGTTGGTAAGTGCTGTGGAAAGAAGGGTCTCACAGCTTAAGAAAGAGCAAAAGAAAAGAGACCAGCTAACAGCAAAGATAAAAGCAATGGAGAGCAAGCTCCTCTGTGGTGGCTTGAACATCATTGATAGAACCAGCCAGCAGCAGAAAGCACTGGAAATGCAGAGACAAGAAATTATTGAGCAAAAGGTCTGATTCTAATAATAATAATAATAATAATAATAATAATAATAACAATCGCATAGTCCTTTGCTTATGTTCCTACTATTTTATAACAATGAATATGTGTTTACTCTTTCCTCTCTCTGTCTCTCCTTTTTTGTATAATAATAACAATTACCTATGCTTTAATTAGCTGCTCTACAGATCTGTTATACATATACATGTATACATTTAGCAATGTTTCAATGCAAGAGCATCTCAAATTAATCACGTACCAGTTACATGTACCGTTAGTTTATTTTGTAAAGGTTTCCTCACTAATCATATTACTCTATTTTGGCTTCTGCTTTACTATGGACTGATTGAACCAATTATGTATTGAGCCTTTGATCATTATACTGTCCATTACTTTATCTTTCCCTTTTAAATTGCCCGACATTCTTTCTTTACCTATCTCTCTCTCTTCCTTTCCAGAGAAGAGAGCGCGAGATTCAACAGAAACTAGAGACGGAAGAAGAAGAATGGACGGAAGCTCAGGTCAACTATCAATCGCTACACGAAGAAGCTACCGTCAAAGAAAAGAAATTGAAAAAAGTTTGTATAATAATTACACCTACAAAAACTACCGCTATTAAATTACATATACCATTACTTAATATATTAATACACAATACATCAAACTTGCATGCACCTTGCACTAATTCATTAGTATTTCCTTTTCTTTATTTGTACTTGCTTCTTAAGTCATCTTTATCTTTTTCTATTTTTCCATCTTCTCCATTATCCAGTTGCAGCATAAGCTGCACATTGTCAACTCTGAGATCACAGAGTGTCAAGAGGAGAGGATTAAACTGAGAGAGGAGCTCTCCCAGCAATTGGAGAGTTTGGAGAAGCAGCTCAAGCTTCGTCAGCTGATCATCGAAAACTTTATACAACCTCGGGAGTGTCAGAGAGTGAGAGATAGAGCAGTTTATGAGGATGACAGGTGGGTACTGACACCAGTGGACAGTAAAAGGTATGTATACCTACTGTATGCAATAGATATGTAGCATGTAGCTTTGAGTAGTTTATCAGATTACATCAAAAATGATATTAACGTGTAATCTTGAGTGCTTAGTAGTGCTGTTGTATTATTTTAAATCAATTTATTGACCTTGAGTCATCCCCCCGCTATCACTCCAATTGTATTTATACTATTTATAGTATTTGTGAAATTTAATATCTAGTTTGATTAGAGTTTTGTTCACGCTCTAGTTATCATACGTTGCCTCTTAGTCTGGACAGAGAAGGAGGGCACCGCCCTATGAGTCTCACTGCCAAACATGCAGCTGCTATTGGTGACGTGAGGTTCATGGTATGTGTGACAATTACTCCTCGTGCTGTTTGACTCTGTTTCCTTTCTCTCCCCCCTCTATTTCACTCACCTCCTCCTCCTCTTTTTCACTTTTACTTCTTACTCTTTCTCACCCTCCCTCCCTCCCTCTTTCTCCCCCCTCCCTTTCTCCCCCCTTTCTCTCTCTATCCTCCTTCCTTCTCTTCCTTCTCCCATACACTCTTAAAGGCTGATAATATACTAAGATTGGAGTTAGACATGCCTACAAGGACAACCAGTGACTATGAAGGGCCAACAGTCTCAGCTAGCATACAAGCCGTCCTGGATAAAGCAGTTCAAGATGAGGAAGAGATGACAATTGATGCTACGTATGTCACAGAACTATGTACATGTGTACATGTACATGTATGTAATGCATGTACTGTATATGGTTGATTAGTTGTGTGTGAGTTTATGTGTTTATGAGTGGGTGTGTGTACGAGTGAGTGAGTTGTGTGGGCATTAATATAGCCATATGCTTGATTGTACACTAGCTGTTATTGTATTTGTTTCATTGCAGTGTATTCTCTGCATCAACTAAGACACAAAAGAAATCAAGGTAAGGAAAGAGAGAGAGAGAAAGAGAGAGAGGAGAGGGAAAAGGAAAAGGAAGTGTACACTGTACATGTTGTAGTACTGAACCATCCATTTCCTTTGGTGCCTGTGATGCATCATAAAGTCAATGTTATTCACATCTGTACCGTTACCTCCTCTGATCATTGAAGATCAAAAGGGACCCAATCATCTCTTACTCTGTGTAGGAGATCTCACTATGAGAATCTGTCAAAGAGAGTCAACACGTTTCTCTAATTATAGTATATACTACGCAACACATGTACATGGACTTTGTCTTTTAGATCAAAGAAGCGGCTCCAGCCATCGTCTTTCCAATCGTCTTCTTCCTCGTCTCCCTTGTTCTCATCAAAAGGCCCTCCTCCTACTACTACTACTGGTGGTGGTGGCGGTGGATATGGCAAAGGAGCATCAGTTGATCCTAGAGAACATTATCCAATTAGAAGAGGATTAGTTTCATCAACCAAGAAATAGTGTTCATTCAATAACAAACATTAATTATAAACCATGAAGACATAGGCAGCCATATGCACACACACACACACACACACACACACACACACACCTCACAGAGAGAAACTCTGTCACTTAAATGTCAATTTTATATGATAATTAGAGGAAGTTTTTATTTTATTATAATTTGAAAATAATGGCATCTATTTCTGTCTTCATTTGATCTTTCTCTCCTCTCTCTCTCTCTCTCTCTTTTCTTTCTCTTGTGCCACCACTTAAATTGTTAATTTTGGCATAAGTAATTTGTACTTTACTACTAGCTCTTAATATTCTAAATACTTCATTAGCCCACAAATAAATTTAATGGATCAAATGGGGGAAAACAATGAGACAAAGTTGTAGTGACAGATACGGTAGATGATGAGAAAAGTCCCCCACAAAATCTAGTGATTCATGAGAACAGAAGTGGAAGATAGAAGTGAGGATTATTGAGAAAGACAAAAGCAAAAAGGACACCAGATGAACTAAATTTTTTAAATGATTGTTGTTATTGTTATTATTATGGCTTGCATTTTTCTTAAAGTTTGAAACCTGACAGTGTGGGTGTGTGTGTGAGAGCTATGAACACATACACACTATGAGCTAATAATTCATTTTTATTATTATTCTCAAAAATAACGCAGCACAACCGTTTTATCTTATACTACATCATCATCATGCAACCATATAAAAATGGCGTGTTTTTACATGTATTCACCTACTATATCAACCAATAAACCAACGAGCGTGCATAGCTTTAGCAAGAAATATGAAATAATAGGAGAACCCAATTCAAAACGAAAACATACAAAAAACCAGGATAATGCAGACCTGCAAAACCTGTTTGTACGATACTCTTTATTTTTGATTCTTTGTATCTTTGTTATAGCAAAACAGATTACATGGATCTATTCACATGCAACAAATGATGCTCATTAAGCACACACACAGACACAGACACACATTGTACTTGTCAACACTAAATTATATGCATGCATAACCAGTAAACAAAGTGATACAAGCATTCCTCCTTATAGTAGTCTGTGTCCTTATATATATATACATCAATGCTTGTCATATTGGGCAATTAGTGAGCAATATGCATGTAGAGTGGAGCTGTCATTAAAAATCTGCTATCAAAACTTATTTACTCATATATTTAATCCTCTCTGTTTCTCTCTCTCTCTCTCTCTTTTGTACTACTGATACTTATATGCATAACAGCCCAGATGGTTTACAAAACAACCTCTAACCACAATCACTCCAGTGTTCAGTACATGTAGTGTATTGGTCTATGGTCATATTTTGTAGGGATGAAAACCACCACACTACTCTACCCACTAAGTGCACTTTGCTTAGGTGTGCCTACACTCAAAGACTCCTGTGGTTAGGTGACTTCTTTGACTAGAGAAAGAAAAAGAACATTATTCCACTTCAACTGTCATTTTGGGGCTTAGTTCGATCTGAGCTTGCATTGGAATGAATGGTACCCGCTCGCTCGCTCGTTTAAGAATTTTCGAATTTCAAGCAGTTCACTCATTTATTGATTTAATAACACTGAACTGTATAATAGGTTTGTTATTATGTAAACACTAATTTCTGTCAATCAAACGGCTGCTCCTACTTCACATACTTGCTTTGTATCAAAAGCTAAGTTTGTACTTTAAAATGTCTCTTATTTATTGGTCCTATTACCGATGACTCTCTACCCGATCTTGTGACACGGCAGGCTTCCCTAATAGTTGTTGATTTGTTTACTTAAAACACTTGTTTGCTCTTTAATAAGTCAAAGACTGGACTCGTAACAAAAATGAGCAACCCACACTGCATGTTACAATGGTAAAAGTACCTACATACATACACACTCACACACACAACACACAATAATGGAAATATTTAATTACACAGAGTGGTAGGGATCAGAGAGTCCATGCATCCTTTGATAATTGCATTACTAGAAACAACAAATAATGTATCAAATGTACTGAAGTAGCTTCTCACAAAGAAATATGATATACTTAATTATGAGTGAAATATACCAAATTACCACACACTCGCAGTGCGCACTCTTGGTAATACTATACTGCAAGCTCGATTGATATGCAAGGAATTTGGAGTCTATCCTTTCTAAGAGCTCAGTTTTTTATTTCTCATCAAAACACGGCCTTTGTGACAGTCCCGGCCTCAATCGTACTTCAAAGCCCTCGTGGAGTCTTTGATGTCCTGTGGGAGAGATAGCATTGTGATGGCAACAAGGTATTAACGGGAGCAATTCAAATACCATAGGATAGAGATAGGGGGAAAGAGAGAGAGAGAGAGAGGGAGTGGAGATAGAATATTTCTCTTTTCTTGGTACTTTATCAGTTCCTTTCTCCTACTTTATCTCTGGATAAAGAGGATAAATGTAATTCAATTTTCTAAGAAACACTACATTTGCCATTGCTTCTTCATGACATGCGAGCGTTGGTATGTGTTGATGTTATCCTGGCACTATTTACTCCAATCCATCCATCCACTCAAACCACTTAGCTCAATTTTGTGTGTGTCTGCATATCTTCCTGTACTATACTATACTATAAATGAGTCGTACAGCATTCTAGAGTAAATGACAAGTTTATTTCGTATACTCTTGAGGAAAGACAAAATGAAAATTGCTTCATTAGGTAACACACCTCATAACAGTGTGTGTGTGTGTGTGTGTGTGTGTGTGTGTGTGTGTGCGTGTGTGTGCGTGTGGATTAGGCTGAGAGTAAGAGAACAGATGTGTCCCAAACACACCTGCTTAGGTATTTTGCGATAATTGTCTTGATGAGAGAAAGAATGCTTTTTTCTCGATAAATATTATAACATCGTAATAACGATGATAATAATGATAATAATTTATTATAATGAATATTAATAATAATAATAATAATAATAATGATAATGATAATGATAATAATAATAATGATGATAATAATAATAATAATAATGGTACAAATAATTACTTGTAAAAGGAGGGAAATAGTAGATTTATAATCACACTGAGATAATACATGTGAGTGCACAGTAACTATTAAGGAAATGGTTCTTCTACATGTGAAAATTGATGGAGGAGCAGTGAAGAGAGAGAGAAAGAGAGAGGGAAAAAACAACAAGAGGATTGTTGGAAGGAGGAGAGATTAAATAAATAAAATAGTAAGAAAGTTTTATTGAATTCCTATGAGATTGTAGTATGAGGGACTGATAGAGAGGACCTGTTTGGATCCAGCATAAATCCTAAAGTGGCCGGGCTGCTCTGCTGCTGTGGAGACTGCCCCTCATACTTTATAGATGAAGTTGGATGAGGTTGATGAGGATGGTTAAAGTGTAAAGCCTGAGAGTGGGGATAGTGCGGTGTGTGTGGTACTGGTGGCGAGGCTATGAGCGGGCCTTGTTGAAACAGACCAAGTGTGTTTGCAGCTGCATTCGGCTGTAGACTCATTCCAGAGCCATGAATGAGAGGATTGTGCAGGAGCTCTGTGTGGTAGTGAGCGTAAGAGAGGGGTATCCCAAGGCTACGTGCTGCTCTTTCTGCCTCTGCCTCTCTCAGTCTTTTCTCCTTTGCCCTTCGATTTTGAAACCAAATCTTGACCTGGGTCTCAGTTAATTTAAGATACTCTGCAAATTCTGCTCTCTCTGCAACCGAGAGGTAGCGCTGCTGTCGAAACTTTCTCTCTAGAGCTATGAGCTGGGTACTTGTGAATGGTGTGCGAGGTTTTCTGTCTTTCTTCTGCTTCTTTAGCTTTGCTTGGCCAATTGTAGGACTACCTGAAACTGGAGAGAGAGAGAGAGAGAGAGTGATGGAGAGAGAGAGAGAGAAGGAAGTAATGTAAATTACAAGAGAGG